ATCGTCAGCATAATACTATTTCGCATACTTGTGAAATAGCATCAACCCAAAATGCAAGTGTGGGAACTAACGGACGAACTTACTCACAGACAACAATTATGCAACAGGTACGCCGCTGCTGGACATTGGCTATAAAGGGAAGTAGCGGACACAAAGCGGGCAGTCGAGTTCGGGACGGTAACGCTACGGTTTAGATTAAGAATTCTAATTGTAATTAAGTAAATAGAATAAACTGTGTTAGATTCCAAAATTTGTGTTGTAGATTTNCGGGACGGTAACGCTACGGTTTAGATTAAGAATTCTAATTGTAATTAGGTAAATAGAATAAACTGTGTTATATTCCAAAATTTGTGTTGTAGATTTTGTAACTCGTAGTTAGAACTATTGGGCGCGTTGGCCCAACTAACTTATTTTTTTTTGAGTGTTAAAAGGTGACACTCATTAACTTACATTCATACACAGCACCATAGACTGCCCTGCAGTAAATCGCGCTAGTTCAGGACTAGCGCAGAACTAGCTCTTTAAAAGGCGGGTTTCGTGAACGAGCATTCGGAATACTGTTTTGCCGAAGTCAATATCAGTATGAGCTGTTATAAGTAGGGTTCGAAATTTCAGACTTTGGTATCGATACTGAGTACTCATTCTGGCATCGAGCTCATGGTATCGATACTTTAAAAGTATCAGGGAAAAACTATCGGACTCATTAGCAACTCGGGTAAAATTTCCTTTTAGCTACTTAAGCAACCCTGCTGGTAGCTGGCAAGAAACATGTGATTAGTTTAACGGGATTTAGACACAAAAAACAATAGAAATTAGTTATTATGCGAGGTATTTGCGTAATATATATACTTATTTAAAATTAAAATCATGTATATGAGAAAACAAAAATTTCCCTCCAATTTCCCAGTAACAATTCACAATAGAGCAGTTTTTTCACTTAACAACACTACTCTTCAGGTCGGGGTTTTTTTAACCGACCTGGCTGAACTCGGATAAATAGCCGAGTTTGTGTTCTTGCTTTACGTGTATTTCGTCATTTAAACGAGTGTTCTTTTGTAGCTCGGTTGCAAAANGGGTTTTTTTAACCGACCTGGCTGAACTCGGATAAATAGCCGAGTTTGTGTTCTTGCTTTACGTGTATTTCGTCATTTAAACGAGTGTTCTTTTGTAGCTCGGTTGCAAAAGAATGGGCCTATTGAAATACGTTGTTTGGGATACTAAAATTATTTTATTCTTCAATCATATATCTAGTTATTTCCTGAAATTAAAACAATAGAAATTTAAAATATTTGATTTTTATTTCATTGCAGAACTTACTTTCACGTTGGAAGTAATTTTAACGATAAATGTACATGCATACATACATANTGTTCTTGCTTTACGTGTATTTCGTCATTTAAACGAGTGTTCTTTTGTAGCTCGGTTGCAAAAGAATGGGCCTATTGAAATACGTTGTTTGGGATACTAAAATTATTTTATTCTTCAATCATATATCTAGTTATTTCCTGAAATTAAAACAATAGAAATTTAAAATATTTGATTTTTATTTCATTGCAGAACTTACTTTCACGTTGGAAATAATTTTAACGATAAATGTACATTAGACTGCATCACCAAAAAAAGTTGCGGTTTTTCCACCAGGATTACAAAATCTATTATATTTTAAGACGTCCACCAAAATATTTCGCAAAAATATTAAGATTTAAGTGAGCTGGACCGATTTGAAAATACCTCCAAAAATGGAGTTGTTTATGAATAAAAATAGTTTCTTAAAGAAGTTTTTGAAAAAAGTCCCCTCAGATGACAAAACA